AGGGAGGGGTCTCTAAAAAATTTAAATTTAATTTAAAAGTAAATTAAAAATTAAAAATTAAAAAAATTAAAAAATTGACATGCTTGATAAAAAAAAATAATGCACAGAGGGGCATTTTTTTTATCAGTGTGGCCCCCTGCTATGAGGCCCCCACACCTGACACCTTTCACGGCTTCAGTGTACCTTTATACAGCTCTACATTCATAAGAGTGAGCGTTTGCACTCTTCTCGTTGTCACATTATACCAGCAGTAGAGAAAGCCATTCCTATGCTGTAGGCAAGATCTCAATGAGATGCAGCATGAAAATACAGTGTCTTAAATTTTGAAAGGGGAATTTCCTTTCCTTTCTTTTCTCTTCCTTTCCCCGTCACACTCCTACCTAGCAGCAAGGTAAACAGAAACAGTGAGATGCTCTTGCAGGAAGCAGGCAAGAATTGCTAATGGGTACATCCAGCTGTTCAGCTTCACAGATTAGGAACCGTTATGTGTGCACCAAAGGAAGGAAGGTATGAATCCAGACCTGCCTGGTTCCGCTGGGATACAGGTTGCTTCTTTTCCTTCCCTCTTCATGCAAATGCCAGGTTCAGAGCTGGGGATGTCCTTGACCCTGCTGGCAAAGGGAAAGGCAGGTCCTCTCATATCTTAGAAGGTCACCACTAGCAATGCTCAAAAGGTCACTGTGAAATCTGAGCAACCTTTCCGTTTCACTGATCACTCCATACTAGTGCGCCCACGCACTGAAGCCTTCAACTCAGCTGCCTGTTTTCTTCTGTGATCACAGGCCACGAGGATACACATCGATTTCCAGCCCCATCAAATGGTAACACATGCTAATCTTAAAAAGGCCCTCCCCCTGCCTACAGGAATTCACTCTTTTACACTACGGCAACACTTTTTTTCTCTTTCTGATTGCAACAAAAGAGAAATGAATGTTTTCTCAGAACCATCTCTGGGACCTGCACAAACTTTACTTTTGTGTGTCTTTCACTCCCAGTTTTTAAGACTTTTGCTTAGATTCTTTTTTGGCTGGATGAAGTGGGGGGGGGGGAGATCATTAATCTCAATCAGCAATATCCACAGGATTTTCTGGGCTGCAGCAGGAAAGAACTTGGGGGGGGGGAGAAGCAGAGTTGCGGTGGTGTATCAAGATTCCTTCCCCCTCACCAGATGTCATATCCCCCAGCTTTCTGGGTTTGAGTGCTTACAATTGATAGTGAGAACTCAGGACAGAATGGGGATTCTATTGGTGTAACACACACTTCACTGCTCAGCTTTTTTTCTTTCAGTTCCGCCACCTTCACAAGGGCCTTTCCCTATCCCTGCTCCCACCCTGTTAAACTCCCTGCTATGGGAGGTCAGGTCGGCCCCCTCTTTGCTGTTTGTTGTTTGTTTTTCATATTGTAAACTACTCGAGCTGGGCACGAAACACAAGCTTGGGGGTTCGTGCTGGTTCATATAGCACTAAACCAAGTGTTCAGTGCTTCAAAGCCACACCTCCTCCTTGGGGGAGGGGCTACTCAGGGGCAGCACCCAGAGGAGGCAGGGCAGAGACGCCTGGCTTCTACCTCCAAGTGGGCGCCCACCAGAGGAGGAAGGGCTGCGAAGTGCCAAACATCTGTTCAGCCACTAAACAAACTGGCACAAAACCACCAAACCAGCAGTTCATGCCCATCTCTATAAGCCACATTGGGTCTTCTTGAAGAGAATGGTAGGGTATGGGTGGATGGATGGATGGATGGATCGTGCATGTATTAGTTATTATATAGATTCACCATGGTCATGGTTGGTTAATTAAGGTTAATTAATTAATTAACCAACCATGACCATGGTGAATCAATTGGTGTATCTTGTGCATTTACAATGTTACCGCTCTAGGTCCGTGGTTCCCAATCTTGGGACAACCAAGTGTTCTTGGACTGCAATTCCCAGAAGCTTTGAACCACCAGCTGTGTTAGCTGGGGTTTCTGGGAGTTGCAGTTGAAGAACCCCTGAGTTATCCAAGACTGGGGATTACTGTTCTAGATGTTTTAGTGCTAATGCCTGAGAAGTAGATGTCCGAACAAAACAGCAGCATCTTGTAACTGACGAACTATAAAATAAGAGCAAGCCAATATGCCAAAAGCAGACTGATGCAAGCTCCTGTTAGAACAGACATCTATTCCTTTTAAATATATGTGGCTTCTAGATTCATGCCTTGTAGTGGCACCCTAAGTCCAGTTCGCTCCATCTTGCTCTTTTCTCTTGTTTGCCTGCAAACTGTTAAAGCAACTTTGGGGAACATCTACTTTCCACAATAACAATTTGTGCAGAAGTAAGAAGTGCCAGTGTTGCACTTACTGTTTCAATACATCCGAAAAGAGACTTTCCCTGTGAAGAGAAGCAGGTATCTCTGATATGGAGTTAGCACACACATCTCCCTACGCCACATGTGAGCATCTGCTGACTGGTGTATTCTGGGATCTGTGGTCCAAAAAGTAATGTTTTCCCATTTCTAGCCGTGGCCTACAGTTAAAGCAGAAGTACACCTGGTCAACTCGGTTTAAGAGTAAGGGATACATAGAGGGATCCAATGGAGCAGGGATCTGGGAGAGTAAGTGTTGAGAATTTTTTTAGCTAATACTTAAGCTACATTTTGCTGCTCTTTGGAGTTTTCATGTACATAATGGGTCAGTGGTGGACAGAAGGTAGATCTGGGTATACTGGGTATACTGGTAGATAATTGGTTGATTTATTATATTTCACCAAAGATTTGTGACTCCAAGCTCATTAACAGTACAGCAGTCAGTCATGCAGCTAGACCAGCTCCCTTCAAATAACCATCAAAGAGCAACAGCCGAGGAAAGCAATATGGAGGTCAGCATCTAAAACAAACATTTAATAGTTTTGTGGCTGATAAAATATGAAAGTGCTTATAGATGGTCCACCTATTGTCTGTATGCAAAATTATGCTTCTTCTGGAGTGAATATGATTAGTTTTGCAACAGAATAAGAAAAATCCATTATATCCTTCCAGGTGATAGCAGTGATATAATGTCAGCAAGTTCTAAAGGCAAAACTTCAAGAAAAATGTTGACAAATTGGAACAAGTTCAGAGGAGGGCAACACAGATTATCAGGGGGCTGGAAACCAAGCCCTATGAGGACAGAGTGAAAGAATTAGGCATGTTTTGCTTTGAGAAAAGACGGAGGGATGCTATGATAACACTTTTCAAATACTTGAAAGGCTGTCATACAGAGGAGGGGCAGGATCTGTTCTCAATCATCCCAGACTGCAGGATATGCAACAATGGGCCCAAGCTACAGGAAGGCAGATTTTGATTGAATATCAGGAAAAACATATAACTCTTAGAGGAGTATAGCAATGGAATCAATTAACTCAAGAGGTGGTGTGTGCTCCAACACTGGAGGCATTCAAGAGAAATTTAGACAACCACCTGGCAGATATCCTTTGATTTCTACCCCTGCATCAAGCAGGGAGATAAATCTGATGGCATTATAGGCCCCTTCCAATTTCACTATTCTATGATTCTATGAAAATTCTACGTGCTAAGACTCCTGTAATTTTTTTAACAGGGCTGGCAATCAGGGGTGTTTGGAGAGTAGATTTTTTATTATTATTTAACAATATCAAGGAGATAGATAGATATATAGATGTAAAGCATGTTTTGTGTTTGTGTGCTTCACAACTTGAATAATATATGGTTATCTAAAGCACATTCTACTGTAAACACTGCTGATAGCAGCATCCGAATTATTCAGCTGCAACGAACCATCTTCTACTCTCGGGAATGGCAGATGACTCTGGGCCTGTGAATCTATTCCAGGTTTTAATTTGAACTTTGCAGGAGCTGCCCAAAGTGTCAGCCAATTCTGAGGATAGATTCAGCACCTTGGAGAGGTCCAGTAAAATTCAGATTAGAAAGGAATGGATTCACCATCCCCATGAAGCTGGCCACCAGCCACTCTTGACTCTCTCCATCCTAAAATGAATCAGAGTGTTCTGGCAACAAAGACAGGACTTTTGTGAGGGCTGTGATCTTTCAGTTTCCCAACCTAGAATTAATTCTTTGGCTGAAAATTCTCAGAATTCTCTGGTGTTTTGGATTCTGTTTTAAAAAAGGAGAGAGAGAGAGAGAGAGAGAGAAGTAGATCCTGCAATTGTGAAGTCTGTCCAGCTATAAAATGGATCAAAACAGCTGTCTCCACTTATGAACTACCCACCAGGACATGGCTACAATGTAAGCTACCATAATGAGCTCAGGCATTTCAGAATGTATCACTCTATATACCCAGGACAAGAGCCATTGGACCTGTGTAAAGTAAGCAGACAATCTTGCAAGCCAACTTGTATTTCTGACCAGCTGTCACACTCCTCAGCTCCTTTAGGTCAGGAAAACTGTCACTCATGCAAAAGACAGCAGGAGCAGGTGACAAATGAAAAACTGCTGCAATATTGCCCTTGTGTAGACAGTTTTTCCCAACAAGATTCTGGCCACAGATTTTATTTATTTTTTAGTATTATCTAACAATATTCTTCAATGATGCAGGCGTGCTTTTGATACATTCCAGAAATCCCATCACTGTATTAGAGATGTTTCACAGAATACTGCAGCCATTTTGTTTCCTTGACTTAGATGTCTGGCTGTTGAATAAGAATTTGGCAATTTCATTCCTCACTGTGTGTCCCAGGAGAAGAGCTAGCCTAAGTAGCCTTGGACAAGCTGCAGAGTCCCAGAACCACACCCACCCCAGAAGAAGGGAATGGTAAACCACTTCTGACTACTCCATACGTAGAAAAAAACCCTAGGATTGCCATAAATTGGAATTTATTTGATGGTGCTTAAATATTATTAGGGGCATTTCGGGATTTCTGTAGAGGAAATCCATAAAAGTGTTGGCATAGACCTGCCTTTTATGCCACATCTGAAAGCACCCTGATCATTGTGCCCTGCCATCTTGCTTTTTTATTATTACTGTTTGTTCTTTCCTTCGCCCAACAGTGCTCCTATATACCCAAGTGTGGCAGGAACTTTGAAGAGTCTCTGTCTCTCGTCAACGTCGTCATGGAAAACTTCAAGAAGTATCAGCATTTCTCCTGTTTTTACGACCCAGAAGGCGTTCAAAAGAATGTGCTGCTAACCAAACTCTACAGTTCCAATGTACTGTTCCACTCACTCTTTTGGCCAACGTGCATGATGATTGGAGGACTCGCCATTGTTGCCATGGTCAAGTTGACCCAGTACTTGTCCCTTCTCTGTGAGAGGATCCAACGGATCAACAGATAGAAGCAGCAGTTCGGTTCCAGGATTGACTTACAGCTAAAATACTGTTTCTTTTCTTTTTCTTTTTCTTTTTCTTTTTTCATTCTTCACCAAAGAACCTTAAGTTTGTAACTTCTACGTCTGTTCTAAGTTCACTTATATTTTTACGAAGTAGAGCAATAATGAAAAAGGCTGTTCTTTATGCAAACGTGATGCTATTATTATGCAGAAGATGAGAGAAGGAATTGCCGTTTGCTTTGGCCGTCTACATGCTCTTGATTTATGCTGCAACTTAGTTCTTCCTCCTCTTCCTCGCCTTCATTTTCTATAACCAAGTTAGGGCTCAGTGTGACCATTTGCCAAACCTTGTCTATGAATGCATCAACTACTCAGCACAAATCCATTCTGGAGGGATGTATTTTATCACCACATGTTTTTTTTTAATTGAGCCATTCATGTTCCACTTCAGCCTGTGGCTGAAGAAGAAAAACTAGGAACGAACGCATTTGATTTAACACATTGACATTAAAATCATTGCTTTTTTTGGTAAACGGGAGGAATGCATGTAATCCTTTTTTTTCCCCAAAGCATTTTGAAACTAACATTGAAATGTTTAGAACCAATATGAAAAGCTTATACCAAGCAGCCATCCGTTGGTTTGTCCTGTTAACACAGAAGTAGTGATTTTAACATAGATGTATTAGAACTAACTTGCAACTTCATCCTTTGTGATGGAGGGGGTAGAAGGGTTACAGAATGGAAGTAAGACCAATGAAAGGTAAGAGTGTTAACTGGAGTGAAGGAAATGAAAGAGATGGATGCCTTGATCCAGAAATCCTCGGCAGATGTGGGAGCCATAGCTGCTTCATCTACTGAGGTCAAAGGGCACACACAGAGAAAGATGAGAAGTGAAGTGTTTTTTGCAACCAGCAGAACCATGGCCATGTATTTTTGTAGTCCAAAACATAGAATGTTAATATAACTTATTTTCTTTGGACAGGGTGGTGAGAGGCTGTCAAATTCTGGATTAGGGCCACAGTCTACATGTTGTCTTCATGCTCAGGATTCAGCTTTCCTTCCTGATGTTTTAGATTATCTAGCAGAACTTTTGTTTGCAGAATACTTTACTCATGGATTATTATTTACCAAAGCTAAAGCCAAAAAGACAAAATAATACCACCCAACAAACCTATAACATTTGTCAATCGCTTTTCGTTTTCTACTCCAGCATGAGCCCTGCTGGCAGATGTGGGACCAGAAGTCATCTTGAGTACATTATGTACATTTCTCTCGTATTTGTTACCATATCACTGTAAAGACGAACTTTAAAAAAAATCCATAGTCAGCTATTTTTTCATTTTTTACTTCCAACTATTTTAGATTTTTTTACTGGATATTTTAAAAAAAGAACACTTGACAAGAAAACAAACAAGGTATATTAAATCTAGTGGTGTATTGTAATACAAATATGTTATATTTTATTATTTCTTTTGTGAACTGAAAAGTGAGCAGTACCTTTCTTGTATTTCGCAATGTCCAAACCGGCTTACAATTGTAAGAAAAATGTTTCTTTCTTACAGGCGGTGGGGGCTTAGATTATGTACATGGCAGTTTTTCCTGTTCAAGTAAACATAGTTGGGACTTAGTTTGGAAAAACAGTGGCCTCCACTCTGAGAGGCCAGCAAAGACAATGAGTAGAACATAATGTTAGTCCTAGTGAAGATTTAAGAAACAAAGAAATCACAGTAGTTTTTCCTTCAAAAGGATATAAATAGGTTTTAAATATAGGTGATGGCTACATGCACTGAAAGGCATGAGGTAAAATGGGGAGAAACCAAACATGTGCATACATTAACGAGTGTTCTATAAGGCCTGTATTGCCACTGAGAGATTCTAGGTGGTTGCCTAGGAAAGCACATTGCAAGTGTTTGCTTGGGGTTTTTTTTTTAACCTGCAAACCTGACTTTGATGTAGTAGGGGCAAAGAAAAGATGGAAGTCTTGATGGGCAGAGGAATGACCATGCCATTGATGACTGGCCCAAATGAACTGAAAGAGAGAGGAAGAATAAGCCTGAGTAAAATGTGAATGAGTCAGGACTGGGGGAATGGACCACAGGAAAGCCCGAAGTCCTCATCAGGACTGGGGGAATGGACTACAGGAAAGCATGATGTAGAAGAGAAGAGATAGAAATGTCAGTCATTTAGCGCTCTACAAATGAATGATGATAAAGTGTATTCGCGAAGGCTTGCACGGCCGGGATCTAATGGATGATAAAGTGCTTTGGAATCCAGTTTGATGTGGGGAATAACCAAATAGATAAGGAAGAAGCAAAATTATATTTCATTTTTTCCATCCCCATCCTCTGCATAATTATGGATAGTATTTGCAGATTTCTTAGAGTATATCCATAAAGACAATCCTAAGAGGTTCTGATGCTAAATTTTGTTCAAAAGGCTACATGTGAGGTACTTGATAAACACCCCCCAAGAATCATGGAATTTTTAAGGGCAGTTACTTGAAGGTGTGCTTGAAAGTTACTTCTTTTTCGCCAAAAGGAGGTGGAATTTTTGACCTGTCCAGTTCATCTGTTATCTGAGTAAGTACTTCTTTACTCCCATAATGTAATATTGAAAACAAAAACTTTATGGTGTTAACAAGAATCCATGAACTGTGCAAGTGTCGTCTGAGCTGTACAAATGAACTCTGCAGCAGTGAAATTAATCTTTGATCTTGTAATCCATAATGCAATTTTTTTTTCCTCAGGCAAATAAATTCCTGAGGCGTGTAATCAGGACTTCAAAACTGTGTGATTTGGTACAAAAAAATTATTCAATTAAACCTTTGAGATTTCAATATGCTTGGCTGTCAGAAATTACCTTTTTTTTTTTAATTGCTAAGAAAAATGCTAGTAGAATCCAATCTTTCATTATTCTTTCTCTTTCTCCTGTGCCTAGTTAGGAAAATAGAACTCCAAGGGTTCTAAATAAAAGACAGCCCCACATAATTTTTAATGCATATCCCACCGCTACATCGTTGATTTCTCTCCAACTAATTGGAGGTGGTGGGGTGATTCTTCTCAAGTGTGCAAGAAGGAGAAGTGTATGCCTTCCACCCTCAAATGTGACCACGGTGTCTCACCCACTCCACCACGGACATTCATCTTCCTACCTTTACAAGGGGAGTTATGGGGGACCTGACTGTGGGAAGGAATAAATATTCCTTTTCTCTTCAACTTGATTGTGGAAAGAACAGGTCTTTTTGCTCTACGACTTCCTGAATTCCAAAGCCCTTTCTGACTTGTTTGTTAACCTAACGTCTCAACTTCCAAAGCAACCATGGATAGATATTGCTGCATGTCTGCTTGGTGGAAATGAGTACATGGAATAATATTTTTTCACTCCTACCCTCAACTCATCTTATTTAAACAAAACATCATGAGAACTGCAGAAAATGTATGACAGACATCTCACTTCACCTTTCATATTCTGAAAATGGTTTTCTGCTCCTAAGGATGGGTGTGTTCCCAGATCTAATTTCCAAAACATGGATCTGGGTCTATA